CAAGAAATTGTTCCTCAGGTCCAACCCGAGCACAGCTTGAGGCTGTTTCATCTTATCCTAAACATTTCTGTCCTGTCCTAAGTTTTTGTGTCTGCAGTTTTCCTCCAGAAACTTCTAGTATTTGAGATTCTTGTTCATGCTGGGGTTTCCAGTCAAAAAACTGGAAGACAGAGACAAAAGCTGGGAATGAAAACTCCAGCAACATCCCTGAACCTTGACAAGCTTTGCTGATCAAGCCTTCTCCTAATCCCTCCTCTTCTCCATTGGGGAGATTTGCCAAGATGTCCCTGAGGTGGGTGGGAGGAGGTGGGAAATCCCACCCTCACCTGCTGTCCAGAAGCTCGGGGTCCTTCCTGCTGCGTAGGTTCCAGATGGTGATGGAGCCATGGGCCATGCCAACTGCCAGGAGATTGGGGGTGCCCAGGGAGAAGTCCAACGCCGTGACCCCGCGCTCGCCCCGCAGCACGCGCTCCGGCCACTGGCCAAGGCACACACAGCAACCTTCAGGCAGTTCCTGAACCTCCCTGGGTCTTCTCAACACTGGGTTAAGGTTGGAAAGGACCTCCAAGGTCATCAAGTCCAACCATCAACCCAAAGCTACCATGGCCATTAAGCTATGTCACAAAGTGCCACGTCCATGTGTTTTTTGGAACCCCTCTCCGGGGATGGTGTCTCCAGCACCTCCCTGGGCAGCCTGGGCCAAGGCCTCAGCACTCTGCCAGGGAAGAAATTCTTCCTCATATCCAACCCAAACCTCCCCTGGCACAACCTCAGCCCATTTCCTCTCGTCCTGTTGCTGGTTACTTGGGAGAAGAGACCAACCCCACCTCCCTCCAAGCTCCTTCCAGGTAGTTGTAGAGAGCAGGAAGGTCTCCCCGTAGCATCAAGGTGTCTCCTCAACCTCTTAGAATCATAGAATCCTTTAGGTTGGAAAAGACCTTTAAGATCATCAAGTCCAACCATTGAACCATTTAAAGTCCTCTGCTAAAACACAATCAGAATCTGTCAGGGTTGGAAGGGACCACAAGGGTCACCCAGTTCCAACCACCCAGCTCCTTCTCTTCTCCAGCCTAAACACCCCCAAATCCCTCAGCTGCTCCTCCTAAGACATGGCTCTGCTGGAAACTTCAACTGCTGATGACCAACAGTGACTCCTTCTGCCAGAAATTAGCTACTATGTTCTGAATGGTTCCATTTATTTATTGCTGCAACTGATAAGAACATGATAAAAGCATCAAAAACTTAACTCTGCATGATTTAAATTAGTTGAAGGTGCAGTTTGGGCCAAGTGAAGAAATCAAACCAAAGCTGTGTGATTTGATGGCAATCAGATGGCATTTGTAACTGAGATTTCCAGTTTTTTAATGCCTGGTTTAAGAAGGGTCAGTTTTCAGACAGGTATGTAAAGGTCTAAATGGTCCAACAGAAAATGGACTGGAAAGGATAATCTTTAAATTTAAAATGCAGATGTAATGGGAGCTTGGAATTACTGGACAAATGGACTAAAGATGTTGAAAAGCACGAGGTAAATGGATTTATTTTCACCTTTGCCTGTCTCAAGACTTTTGCAGCCTAAAAAAAAAATCATTCCTAAACACCTTGATGTACCCACAGTCTTGGGTAGGTCTCCCTAGGGACTGGAAATGGGACACAGAGCAGGTGTTCCAACAGACACTTGCTTGGGTCAGGATTTAAGCACGTTGGTGGGTACTGCAGGTGGAATCAGTTTTCTAGAAATGTGTGGTTTGGGCTAAAAAATTCAACCTGCTGGCTGGGTCTTGATTTTTGGAACAGGGACATGAAACAAGCAGAAGTAGCACAGCAGAAAAATGCATTGAAGAAAAACTGGCTGCTCCTTACCCTGGGGTTCTTCAGTGACCAGCAGCAAGCAAGGCCTTTCTTTTGGTCTCTAAAATCAAAAGCTCCATAACCAACAGCTAGAAGATCCTAAAAGCACAGATTAACAGACACATCTCAGCTTAAGTTGACATTCAGGCATAAGAAACAGCAGTAAGGCTTTAGTCTTCACCTCCAATTCTATTTATCTTCATTTTTTCCTACACCCAACAAGTAATTTGTGAAATTACCACTTTAAAAGTGTTTGTTTGCCCTATAATGCTAAGGCTGGTGTCTATAAATGCCTCCAGCATTATGATAGTTGGGGATCTGGTGTTCTAACACGTTTAAATAGTCTTTATTTTATCTCTTTATGTCCCCTTGGGGCAAAGTTACTGATTTTATGTTTCTCATCCTCTCCTGCTTTTCCCCTTCCTCTGTTCCTTATTTTTGTGGTGGCCAAAGGAGAGGTCTGCTGGCCTCTCATCAGGCTGAGAGTGGAGATGTCCAAGTCATTCTCACCTCCACTGAAACTGAACTAAAACTCAATCCAGCTCAGAAATCTGTGCCTGTTGTTATGCATCTTAAAGTCTGATGGATGCCTCTTGCTCAGGAGATTGCTGTTAGAAACAAAGATGTGGCATCTACTGTGAATAAACTCCATGAGTGGTGATAAAGTTGAGTAGCAGGGGGTTAAATTTTGACTTCCAGTTCTAGAACAGAGTCTATTATATTAATAATATTAGTAATATAATAATAATAAGTGACTACCCATGGTGAACTGGACCAACTAAATGAAATTCTGGAGCAATTAAAGCTGTAGGAAAAGCTTAGTGCAGTTGCCTGGCCTGTAGTATAATGCAGCAATATTGTTATGTGGAAGGATAAGGCCCAGGGAGTGGGATGCAAAGACTTGCCTCTAGGGATGAATCCATCTCTGAGATCCCTCCCAACAAAGTACATCAAAATCAGCAGTTTGATGACCAAGGATTGCTTACACCATTTTGTAAGCAGCTCAGAATCTTAGACTCATTCTGGTTGGAAGAGACCTTGAAGATCATCAAGTCCGACTGTTCCCTAACTCTGCCAGGTCCCCACTGCCCCGTGTCCCTCACACCACATCTCCATGGCTTGGAAAAACCTCCAGGGGTGGGGACTCCACCACTGCCCTGGGCCGCCTGGCACAACCCTGGGCAACCCTTTCCATGAAGAAATTTGTCCTAATGTCCAACCTCAACCTCTCCTGGGGCAACTTGAGGCCGTTTCCTCTTGTCCTGTCCCTTGTCCCTTGGGAGCAGAGCCCGACCCCCCCCTGGCTCCAGGCTCCTGTCAGGAGCTGTGCAGAGCCAGAAGGTCTCCCCTGAGCCTCCTTTGCTCCACCACTGAAGAAGTGGTTTGTTACTCACAGGATTGACCTTGCTCCAAGCCATGCAGCTCACGCTGTGCCCGTGAGTTAAATCACATGAGTAGGACCAGAGCCATTCCAGTCTGGGAGGTGCAACTTCTCCTGGGGTTTTATTTGACTCTGACAGAATTGAGGGGTCAATGATGGCTTCCTTCTGCTCTTCCTTAGACTTTGGTTCCTTGTCATACTTTTCCCATTTAGCTTCTTTCACAGCTGCTGTTGTACCTCTAGAGGTTGATGGAACGTCGGGATCTAAAGTGCACAAATGTGGTGGTATCATTTCACTTCTCTAACTCCAGTTGTTCACATCAGGAGAAAAATTTACCCTTTCAGCAAATATTTTGCAGAAAAAAAACATGAATTTGAGGAAATAAGACATCTTATCTTCTAAAACTGTGGCTGAACTGTGATAGGGATGTAGAAGCTGGCTGGATCAGGCTGTAGTGGGCTAGGTAGGCTCTGGGTGTTGAATGAGTGGATTTAGCCACCTAGCAACAAATGATGGATTTAAGTCAACTTCCCACCAAGAATGTTTCTCATCTCTTGTGTTTAAAAATTTTTTTGAGGCCCTTTCCTCTTGTCCTGTCCCTTGTTCCTTGGGAGCAGAGCCCAACCCCTACCTGGCTCCAGCCTCCTGTCAGGGAGTTGTAGCTACAATATAACAGGTTAATTGCCTGAGAAACTGAAATACTCTATGACATGAGGAGGGAGAACACAACAAAAGCAGCATGAATGTGCCTTTTCTTTAATCCCTGTGTCAGTTTGGAATTCCTGTAAATGGGAAAATCTGATTTAGCACCTTGGGTCCAGGTCGTGCCTCTTACAGTCTGCAGTGAAAGAGTCTTAGACTCTGAATATCATCAAGCTAAAACTTGTTTCCCATCAGTCTTCTCACAAATCATTATAAAAACCACAACTGTGAAAGACATTACAGTGCAAAAAAAAACCCCAAAAAAATGGCTGGACAAGTAGCAGAATGAATCTAGATCTTAACTGTCAGGAAACAATTTTGACTAAGTTTGTGGTGATAAGAGAAGAGCCAGCTCAGAAATCTTTTTATTCAATTCTTCCACTAAAAAGGGTAGAGATGTCTGTTACAGGGGTGTAAAACAGCAACCTTCATCTTGCCATCTCCTAAAATCTCCTTTCCTTTGTCTCTTAAAGGACTTGTTGCCTGCAAAGACATTCCAAGAGGGACAGGCTGTGGCTCTCAATGCCCTGCAAAGCTTTGTGCTGAAAACAGGAAAGCCAAGGAAGAAACAAACCTCTAAGGACAGGAAGCTGTCGATAAGCTGCAAGTTTGGGCTGAAAAATATTCTCCATGAGAATCCTCTCCATGAAAAATAAATCCTGCAGAAGGCTTTCTGATGATAATATAGCTTCTGAGTGGCATTCCTTCTCTTCATGGATTCTGGTAGGAACAGCACTTTCTGAACTTGGTATAGAAGAAGTTGTGCTGCCTGAAAATAGATAATGTGGGGGGGAAAAAAAAGAGTTTTAACATAATACTTTGTGCATAAAAGTCAAGGGGATAAGAATTCTCTTCCCCTCCTCCACCTGCAAACAGCACAGGAGAACCTCTTGTTATCCCAAACGACTTCCACTGGACCAGAAAGGCAGACCAAGCATCTTCTACATGTTGTTTTCATAGAATCACAGCCTGGTTTGGGTGGGAAGGGACCTTTCAAGGTCATCCAGCCCAACCCCCCTGCAGGGAGCAGGGACATCTGCAGCTAGAGCAGGTTTTCAGCACACTACAGTGATAGGCATGACAACAGAGCAGAAATGCCAGCCTGGCACAAGGGTACCTCTGTCAGAAGAGAGAGAGACAGTCTGATGGTGCTCTTGACTTGTAGGGCATTGGCTGCTCTTCCCAGTCACAGCTCTGCTACCTTCTGCTTGTGATGGAGGTTCTGCTTCTGTCAGGTTAAATGAGTTGTACAAGTCCCAGGAGGTGACCATCATCCCTGGGAATGAATTAGTGTCATACAAATCTCTTGTTTCAGTGCAGTATTACACAGGACTACCTAAAGCTGAGCAAAGATTTACTCTCTGTACCACTTTGAAGCCAACTAGAGGTTGGACAAGGCTGTGGCAGCCACAGCAGGGTCTTCTGGGTGTGTGGCTTCCCCTCAGCAGGGTCATCTCACCTCTTTGTGCTCAGCTTTTCAAATGTGGGCTGGAATGAGCCCTGCTGATGCTCAAAGCACACAAAAAAAGGGAGGATCCATTTCCCCTCCCCTTCATTTTACACAGACTAACAAACACAAAGGGAAAATGTTTGGAACAGCATTCTCCATAGTTTTCTTCAACCTCCTACACAAAAAAAAGTCCACAGTGAGGCAAAGCTCAGCACGTGTATCTAAAACCTAAATCCTCTATCATTTTTTTTAGAGTTGAGGTTGAACTTTTCATCAAATTGCAGCTATCTGGAGACTGCCAAGAGCTTCTGCTTTCCCCAAGCAATCTCATTTTAAATCTCATTTAACAGAGGTTCTCCTCTTTGCATTATGGCAAATAGAAATAGAAACCAGAGTCACTGAAAAGTGAAGGGGAGGGGGGGAAAAGGGAACTGAGCCCTTTCATATTTCAAGAGGACAGCTGAGCATGAGCTGAAGCTCTGCTTGCAAAGTAGTGAGGCAGGACACAACAGCTCTCCACGGGTGTACTGACTGGTTTATTGCAGTGGATCCAGGGCACCAGTACCACTGGTCAAGATTTTAGGGGGGGCAGGAAAGGCTGCTCCACATCACACTGGCTGAACTTCAAGTGCAAGCTGAGGGAACATCTGCTGCTGCTTAGAGATGGAAGAAACTAAAAAAACCCTTTTTTTTGGTGTCCTGCTTGCTGGAGGGAGACTTCTGAGGTGCCACCATCTAGCTGTATGCTAGAGTTTTCCCAAATAAATATTTAATAAGTCAACAAAATGTCATCAACTCAACTGGCCAGGGGACCATGGAGTAAATGAGAGCCACAGAAAGTTTACCTTTATCTTCCATGATGATCTTGTCACATTGTGCCTCCTTGTTCTTTGCAGCTCCATGAATGGTTTGCATCATTTTTTCTACAAAGCGATCGTTGCCAGGTCTGTTTTTGCACATGTCCACATAAATCCTGTTCCTCTCCCTCAGGAGGAGGGGAAAAAAAAAGTGTGTTTTGGCTTCCTGAAAAATAGCTGCATTCAAATTCTTGGTGTAATTAGCCACAAGTTGGACAGGGGAGGATAGGCACTGCCAGGGTGGGTTTGGATTGCTTAGGTTTCGTTTCACTCTGTGTTGTCTTTCTGCAGCTCTCCCTGACCTTGTGGTGATGTTCTAAACCAGAAATGGCCTGCAGAGGTAGAGAGCAGCAGCAAACATCCCCACTCCACCTCCCTTTGCACCCTGGAGGAGTTCAGAGGTACGTAGCTCCCACCACTTGGGAGAGGAAGGGAGTGGATTCAAGAGAGAAAAATGAAACTAGGACATTTCTGTATCATCCGACCCTCAGGTTCTGACTCATAGGATGCTCTTCCTCTTCCTCCTTCCCCAAAATCACACCAGTGTGATTCACAGCCAGCAGGGGCTGGAGCCCTAACATGAACTCTGTGAGCAGACTAGCAGAAAAACCTCACTTGGACAAGGTCTTTGACTTGTCATCTTGGGCTTTGGGGCTTACACCTCCACGAGCTGTGTGATGAATCTCTCAGGCTGACACCCAACGTGGAGAGAACTTGGCTGCACTCTGGCCCAGTCAGCTCCTGGGTGTGAGCCAAAACCCAACATCCTCTGGGTTGACTCCCTATCAAAGTTCATGGGCGTCCAGGGAAGAGGCTCTGAGGTGGAAACACTGAGGGGAGACACAATATTTTAACAGGCAAGGTCACTTGTGGTGGGGTGAGGTTTCTTGTAGCTTAGAGACCCTTTGCAGTGCTTCTAGAGGAAGCCAAGGCTGCCTAGTTTATTTATACCTTCATTATCCATAACTGATTAGCAGTAAAGCTACACACAAACTGCAGAGTTTTGCCATTTCTTGCTGTTTTCATTAAAAATAAATCCTGCCACCCACGTGTGCCACTCTCCCCCCTCTTCTCTTTCCCCCATCCCCTGTGTCCCCATCCCCTTCTTTTGCTAATCTGCCCTAACTGATCAGTGAAAGGAGGTATGAATTTGATCCACAGCTTGAGTTCTAAGGAGTTTTAGGCTGTCTTGTTAAAAGAGAGACTAAAACTCAGTGTGGCTTCCAACAAAGGGGAAATGACAACCTGTAGAAGTCAAAAAACTGGACCTACAGGTGAGCAGCCCGTGCAGGGCTTTGAGAGCAGCAGCCAGGGGGTGTGCTGAGCACACTATGCACGTGTACACAGCTCCTGATATACATACTGAACTCTCCCAGCATCTTCTGATTCTGTAGACACCACAACAGGTGGTATATCCAGCATCCAGAGAGTTTCTGTCTCTCTGAGGTAAATGTGCACTCTCCTGTCTAAGTGGTCTTCTGTTGGTTCTTCTGTTCTCTCCCTTTGCTCCACCTGCATATCTGAAAAATGGTATCAGGTTAGCAAGCAGGAGCTTTTCTGTTCTAAATTTAAAAGAAGATAAATTAATTCTAAAAGCACAGTAATGATTAAGAGAGTTCAAGAGAGACAAAAAAGAGAGAGAGTCCAGCAGAGGCTGTGGAGATGCTGAGGGGCTGGAGCATCTCTGTGCCAGGCCAGGCTGAGAGCCCGGGGGCTGCTGAGCTGGAGAAGAGAAGCCTCAGAGGGGATCTGAGCAGTGCTGAGCAAGAGCTAAAGGGCCCCCAGGGGGCAAGAGGCTGGGGCCAGACTCTGGTCAGTGGTGCCCAGAGACAGGACAAGGGGCAACAGGCACCAACTGGAACCCAGGAGGTGCCACCTGAGCAGGAGGAGAAACTTCTTTGGGGTGAGGGTGGCCGAGCCTGGAGCAGCTGCCCAGAGAGGCTGTGGAGTCTCCTGCTCTGGAGAGATCCCAAACCCCCCTGGGCACCATCCTGGGCACCCTGCTGTGGGTGAGCTGGAGTTGGGTGAGATGATCTCCAGAGGTCCCTTCCAACCCCACCCTGTTGGGATCCTGTGACCAGGAGCCAGAACTTGTGAGGCACTGAGTTGCTTTGTTCTGGGCATCTCCCATCCCTGCACTGCAGCATCTCACAATCCCCAGTGCTCTAAAGATTTAAAACACTTTAAATGTGTAATTACCCAGCATGTGTTCTTTACCAGATGATTGAAGAGTTGTGCCCTGTTGAGAGCCAGGTTCTCCTCTTTCCTCTAGGATGAAACTTGATGTGTTGACCACAGACGTGCTGCTGCTTCCATGTGTCCTTCAGTTACACAGAAACAAGCAGAAATAGTGTGTGAGCCCAAATGTTTCAGCAAAGCACTACAAAAATCACAGTGTTGTTATCAGGGTGAGCCAGAGAAGGCTCTGAGAGCACAGACAAGGCTGCCTGTGTTGTAAAAGAAGTCATAGAAGGTTGAGGGAAGAAAAGAAATGATTGGAAAAAGACTTTAAAAGGAAGAATTCTTCTGGCAGCATTTCCCAAGGCATTAAAGAGCTGATGGAAAAGCTGTTGAGCTCTCAAGATTCATTCTTAGCATATAATAAGGTGAAGTGTTGGCTACCTACCATGTGATAAGGCATCCCCCCCAGCCAGCTCTGCTCTCACCCAGAATTTAGATCCTGCAGTGCTCTGTGTGTGCTGAAATGTCTTTGAAATGCAGAGGAAAGTGGTTTTAAGGGATTAGCTTGTTAAAAGAACCAAGGTAATGTTCTTACAGGGGAGAGCTGTGATAACTGGGAGTAAAACTCAAAAGCTTGGGTACTTTTGGGAGGTTTGTGAGCAGATTTTTCTGTTCTTCAAAAGCTGTGAGAGCAATTAAATATACAAAAGGCATTTGAAAAAAAAAAAAAGATCATTTTTATGATTTTTATTTAAAACCAAAGTTAAACCATTTCATTTTGTCTTTTATTTAAAGGGCTCTTTGTCTCCAAAAAAAAGGATGAGTGTTTTTTCAGGAGATGCTTTGAATTTGTAAGTCATTTTTTGTCTGGATCTCCTCCTGGTTCATATCCCTACCTCTAAGATTATCCTCTGCAGCAGCCAGTCTAGGAAACATGACAAAGAAATGGTTCCTGAGAGCCATCTCTTCCTCTCAGAAATCACAATGGCATTAACTTTACCAAAGCAGACAGTAAATGATGTTTTTCTTTGACTTGGATTTGTTTCCAGTGCAAATAAACTCTCCTCTCAGTACAATTTAAATGTATACACAACATAGGATAAAGTAATATGGGTCATTATTTTTAATTTTAAACACCAATACTTATTTACCTTTTTTTGCAGGACCTAATTGGATTTATCAGCCTGAAGATAAACAGGCTCAAGTCCATTGATTGTGTTTATTCAGAGGTTTTTTGTAGAAGAGTTTTAGAAATGGATGTGCATGTTAAATTAATAACAAATTAAAAGACAGGATACTTAGTATGTTAATAACTTTTTGATACTTGAACTGAGTGACATTTGTAAAAAGGGTTGTCTGTACTGAATAAGGATAATTAAAACTGCCAAAATTCTTTAATAGAAACATGCAGCTCTTCAGTGAAACCAGACTTTTCCTTGCCTCCAAGTGATTGTGACTCTGGACAGGGTAGAAGAGAAGGGTTTGAGGGCAGTTGCTTAGTATTGGTGGGGCCACCCCTCAAATCCTGGGGTCAGTTTTGGGCCCCTCACTCCCCGCAGGACCTTGAGGGGCTGGAGCGTGGCCAGAGAAGGGCAACGAAGCTGCTGGGGAAGGGTCTAGAGCCCACGTGTGGGGAGGAGCAGCTGAGGGAGCTGGGGGTGCTGAGCCTGGAGCAACGGAGGCTCAGGGGAGACCTTCTGGCTCTGCACAGCTCCTGACAGGAGCCTGGAGCCAGGGGGGGGTCGGGCTCTGCTCCCAAGGGACAGGACAAGAGGAAAGGGCCTCAAGTTGCCCCAGGGGAAGTTGAGGTTGGAGCTGAGGAACAATTTCTTGCCCTGGAGGGTTGCCCAGGGCTGTGCCAGGCTGCCCAGGGCAGTGGTGGAGTCCCCACCCCTGGAGGGGTTTCCAAGCCGTGGAGATGTGGGGTGAGGGACACGGGGCAGTGGGGACCTGGCAGTGCTGGGGGATGGTTGGACTGGATGTTGAAAGGTCTCTCCCAACCAGAACAACTCTGTGATTCTGTGTTTTGGGAAGGAAAATGTGACTAGAATTAGAAGTGCCAGAGGTGCAGTGCTGCAGTCTGCCTTCACCAGTGCACGTTAGCACTTCAGCAGCAGGTCTGACATAGGGATGAGTACTGACCAAGTCCATTTATTCTCTTAGTTACTACTCCTCAGATTTCAAATCTTGGGTACAACCAGCAGGTTTTTGGCAACCCAGTACAATTATTAACCCTGCACAATCACTCCAGCTCCCGAGCTCTCTGAGGAGCAGGCGTGTGCAGGGCAGGGACCCCAGGGGACAGGATTTAAGGACAGCATTTTGCCTTACTTGGAGAACACCCCTTCACCAGCATTCACTCCTGGTGCCTGATGCAGGGAAGAAGAAGAAGCACCAGATCCTGTGGCCCCAGGGCAAGCAGGTGATGCCAAGAGCTTGCCCTGCCTGGGCACAGCCGTGCTGGGATCTGGATGGAAGAGTGGATGGGGTGTCACATCCTTTCCTTCATCATCAAAGACCTGGAGGGATATTTAAATAAGGAGAGTGTTTTAGTGTGTCCCTTGGAGTGCTTTGTCTCATCTGGGACAAAAAGAAGAGCCCAATACACCCCAGGAGGGGTTTGCACTCCTGCTTTCATAGAACCACAGACTGGTTTGGGTGGGAAGGGACCTTTCAAGGTCACCTCCTCCAACCCCCTGCAGGGAGCAGGGACATCTGCAGCTAGAGCAGGGTGCTCAGAGCTCCATCCAACCTCCCCTGGGATGGTGCCAGGGATGGGGCAGTGACCACCTCTCTGGGCAGCCTGGGACAGGGGCTCAACACCCTCACAGTGAAGATGAACCCTTTAGGGTTCCACCTTGAGGGGGGTGTTGCCTTCACCTGGGACTTCACTGGAATTCTCTTTATAGAAATGGATGGAAAATATCTGGAAAAGTGGAGTTCCTCTCACTGTCAGAGCCACTTCTTGGCCAGTCTCAGTGTCTTTTTTCAGCTTATTTCTTCTATAATGCCTACCAAGAGTGTAGGTTTACTGCTTATAACTGTCTGACTATAACTTACTGATTGTAGCTATTCACATCAAATTAACAGTACAGCAAAAGTAAGGAGAGAAAAAACTATGCATCTCTTTTTATTTTACTGAATCCCTTCTTACAATACAGTATTTTGGCCAGTGAGGTCTTTAAATGACTCCCAGGTCATCTTATAGAAATCTATGTTTTAGGG